CTGGGAAATCTTATTGGATATGTTCCCATTTTGCATTCTCCTGCCTCTGCCTTTTGGGACTTTGTAGTCATCTTTGTTTGTTGTCATCCTCTGAGTTTGTGTCTTGGCCCTCTCTGCCACCTTAATAGCTTTTTATGGTGAAGTTTTGTTAGTTTGTTTGTTTGTCTTTTGCTTATTTTTCCAGCCTATTTCTTGACTTTAAACTTTATGTTAATGTTGGGCTCTGTTCACTTTGGAGTTTGGAGGCACTGTGTGAAGATTCAGGATTTTTCATGCTGCTGTTTTCAGAGCTAGATCTAGGGGTCTTCAAAGTTTTGGTGCTTCCAAGACGGTTTGATCTGAATAGACGTGTGGTCATTGCTTTCCTGGTCTGTGCTGTGGTTTTTATCCAAGGGCCTTTGCTTCTTTGTACCTGCAAGCTCTGGCACTCCTCTTGTCACTGGAACTCTTACCAGGTACCCTGCTTTCCTGTGTCCACAAGTCCTAGTGTTCTCTCTGCCTTCGAACTGCAACCAAGGCCCCTACTCTCTTGTGATGAACCACAAGCCCTCTTTCTGGAAATATGACCCAGATCTGTGGTCAGTAAAGGTGCCAAACAATACCAGCTAAACCTAATGCCGACAAAGGGTCCCTGTAATTTCTTTGTGACCAATTGTCTGACCCGCATTCGTCTCTGGCCTGAGTGCTTCCGTCACTGGTGCTTCTGCTGAGTGAGTTCCAGGCCAGCCCCTGCCCCAGTGTCACAGGTCTTTTGCTACCAGCCTCCTATGATGTCTTAGGCTAGAAAAATGCCTTACCCTGACATTTCTGTTGGCTTTGCCACTCCAAAATTCAGTCTGAGGATAATGGTTCCCTCAGCTGAAATCTGGAAATCTTGAAAAAGAATGACAGATTTTGTGGGAAAGATAATGAATTCTTTTTTAGATATGTTGAGTTTTAGATATCTATAGGACATTTAGTTAGAAGAAGAGAGAGACCTTAACTGCATTATTGATCTGGGAATCATCTGCATAGAGATGACAATTACTATGGGTAGTAATGAGATTACTAGCAAAGGGAATGTAGAGAAGAGGGACTAGAGAAGAGTTATGATGATACATTCACAGATAAGGGGTTGAGCATGGATAACAAATTACAAGGAAAAACTAAATAGATAAGATACAGGTAAGCTAAAAGACAAAAAGTAAAACAGTCCCTGAAATCAGGGAGCTTAGATTTTATCAGATGTGTATATGTACACAAAATCATTAAAAGAGGAAAATGAGCAATAGTACCCTCTTGTGGTACTCTGCAAAATTGACTTTAGGATTTACTTTTTTGGCGGTTCATTGGCAAATTCATACTTCAGTAATGGTTATAGCTAGCATTTATATGGCATTTTAATGTTTGCAAAGCACTTTACAAATAGCTATCAACTTGGCCAACACCTTGTTTGATTTTTAAATCAACTCATTTGTGCTCTCTCATACAGATGCCTTAACTAGTTTTTCATCAGTCACAAAGCATTTATTAAGTACTTACTTCATTTGAAGCATTGTGCTAAGCTCTTGAGTATATAAAGAATGGCAAGATCATTGGTCTCTACCTTAAAGGAGCTCTAATTCTAATTGGGAAAATAACATGCACACAACTACATACAGACGAGATATATACAAAGTAGATGAAAGGTAATCTCAGTGGGATGGCACCAGTAGTGGAGATAGAAGGACCAGGAAGGTTCTCCTGTGGAAGATTGGACTTGATCTCAGTCTTAAAGTAACCCAGAGAAACTTGAGAGACAAAGAAAGGTGAGGAGGGAAAGCATTTCACGAATAGGGGAAAGGCAATAGAATGACAAGGAATGGGGAAGATGGAATATCATTCTCTTAAAATAAATACACACACACACACACAATTTTTTCCTGGATTACTTGTTAAAACAATTTTTTAAAAGTTTCAAATTCTGTCCCCCCTTCCCTACTCCCTCCCTGAGAAGGTAAGCAGTCAGATATAGGTTATATATGTACAATCATGTGAAACATTGGAATATTATTCTTGAGGAACTGCAAATAGGGGTTAGAATAGCTAGATCATAGTCTGGTCATTTTCAGTTATGTCCGACTTTTTTGTGACCTTATTTGAAGTTTTCTTGGCAAAGATACTGGAGTGGTTTGCCATTTCCTTCTCCAGCTTATTTTACAGATGAGGAAACTGAGGGAAACAGGGTTGCCCAGGGTTAAGTGAGGCCAGATTTGAACTCATGAAAATGAGTCTTTCTCACTCCAGGCCCCTCAGTCCACTGTACCACCTTGCTACATGATTATACAATACTTAGAAGCATAAGGTGTAAGAAGACTGCAAAGTTTAGGAAGGAGCCATAAAGCTTTAAAAATTCCACATGGAGTAAATGAAGCATTTAAGTGCTTACTATATTCAAAGTACAGGAGATACAAATAAAATAGTAAAACCATCCCTGCTGTCATATTCTAATGGGGGAGACCACTCATAAGGCTTAAAGGTTTAAAATGCAAATGCATGATGAAGATAACACATTGACAAGTTCACTTATATGGCCATCGACTCATTTTCCAATCTTGATGGTGGATTAGGTTTTAGACCATAGGGTGGCAGTGATTATCAGTGAGTGGGGGAAAGAGAATAAGATTTGAAATATGACACTCACATCAAATTGTTGACTACCTAATTTTGTCCAAGGAATTGCCTTGGTATTTTCATAAGCAATAAAAGGTATGGTGGGGAAAAAAATTTCCTGCACAGTGATATACTGTTGGTAGTTTCAAATGATTATTGTACTTGGACTCATTGCTCAATGGCTAGGATCCTCTTACCCCCTTATTCTCTATATCCCAGTGATTCTGAACCCTTCATCCTTTTCCCTATACCCAACTACCCACTTTCTCATTCCTATCCTTCTTAATCCTACCCCACAAATATCAGACTCCATATCTATATACCCCTTTTCCTAAGTTCTCTGGATTTCCAGCTTCATAATTAACAAACTTGCTTTCATCTTGACCCTTTTCCTTTCTCATTCTTTCAATTTTCTGACATTCACTGATACCTAGATCCTTTCTGGTGGTTTAGTTGTGGTTGCGCTTTCTTGCATAATCTCGATTCACTTGTCCTGGAGGGGGACTCAAAAATATCCCTTGATCTCCATTGCAGCTTCCAGTTTCTCCCTCTATCACCATCATTCAATAATTTCTCTGCTGATATTGATGCTATTCATGTCAGTGATAAAAATTCTGATGTCCATTATCTACTCTACCTCTAGGACATTTCTCTTTTCTTCCACTGTTATTTCAAGTAACAGTCAAGACTGACTCAGAGTCTTTTTACTCAAATTCTTCCCCTCATTACATTCCACCTACATACTGATACTCCCTCAAATACCTTAACTTCCCAATTCCTCAATCTACTCAGTTCCCATGATCTATTTCTTTATTGTATCTTAGCTACCCATTGGTATGGTCATACCCTTGATCTTAACATCACTCACAGGTGCTATCCTTACATAGTCATATACTCTGGTATTTCTTTAACTGATCATAACTTTTTATCATTCCATGTTTACTTTATGATCCCTAACCCTTTTCTTCATTTTCACTGTGTCTCCCAGTTTCTTCAGCTCTCAGTTCTTTTCCAGATCATCACCCTGCACTGGCTATATCTCCCCCCCATCCCTATCTTAATGCCTGAATCAGTTCAACTGTTCTCTCTTATGTTTTTTTAACTTGACACATAATTTCATTGGTTGCAGAAGACTCCCTGTAGGGAAGCTCATTTACCTATAAAAATCACAACCCTGCACCTGAGCTGTAATTTAAGAGTCTTAGTTTCCTGTGGCACTGAGAGTTATGTAGCTATCCCAGAGTTATACAGCCAGTATGTGTCAAAGGCTAGATTTGGGACCCAGCTCTTCTTAACATCAAGGCAAGCCATCCATCCTCTATGCCCTTTTGTTTTATAATGTATCATATATCTCATGAATCTTCTTTCCTTTTAAAATCCATTGATATGTCAGTGTCTGAGAAACAAAAAGAAAAACGGAGATAGATGATTAATTTCACTTCTTTAGTCAGACTATCCCACTTGAGTGAAATGCCACATACTGAAATCTGTATTCTGGAGGACAACAGGAAATGCTCATAAAACTTTTTTGAAGGGTAGGAGAGAAGGAATTATCAAATGGGCCAGAATTGGCATGGAGCAAAGGGATTTTTGTCCATAATTTTTGTAGGTTTATTTTGTTTTTTTTTAATTTAGTGAAGCACCTGTGAAAATGGGTCTGCTTAAGGGCTTCAGGAGATTTGTGTAGACCTAACAGAAATCTGGCCTTTTGCTTTAAACTTTTTTTAAAGCACTCTTGAAGCATTTACTTTGAATAAAAACTTTAGTGTTCCATTTTTAATTTAGTTGTTGCTATGATATTATGAAATCTACATATTTTTAAATATAGATTATATTTATATTTACTTCATGCTAGAGGTAAGATGCTGCCAGTTATTATTAGGATTCTTACCCTAGCTGAAATCTCATTGATATTTCAAGAAATACTGTTATCTTCTCAGTAGATGAAGTAGTACTTGGGAATTTTAAGAACTCAGAATGCAGTTAGTAATAGCATTTTTGTTCCACTATTCTCGTGATTGTTGACTTGAAAGTAACAAGGTCGCATTTCGATTCTACTCTTTCCTATTTTTCTTTGCTTATAATCCCTAATAATAACTTTTGAAAGCCTTAACTGATTTTTGACCAGGGATAAAATTTCCAGGTGGCAGGCTCTCACTGTGCCTTTGTTGTTGTTGTTGTTGTTGTTGTTGTTAATTTTTAGGAGCTCTCCAGTTGAGCAAGCTTGTCTCTCCTTTCATCACCATCTTATCTCCCCTCTTTGTGTCTCCCCCCTTTGCTTATATAGTTCTGACAATAGGTAGAATTGTTCAGACTTTTTATTTAAAAGGTCATGTACTAATATGTTTTTTACCAATTTATTTTAACAGAAACCAAAGAAGCCACCACTCCCTTCCAAGGGTCCAGGTATGTAAAAACATATTACTCTGTTTCAACTAATACGGTATGAAACATCAAAGGGATAGGATATGAATTTAATAAAAATGTTATTATTTCTGTTCTTTCATGTTCTCTAGCAGAATCAATGAATCTTTGAAAAATATGTAGAAAATTTGAGAGTTTTAGTTAGATACTTTCAAAATTTCCCTGACCCTCTGCCACCACCAGGCTTTCTCCACTGCAGATGTTGTTTCTTGGTGATGGACAGTGATGCTTCTGAAGTCCAGTGGTGCATGCTCTTTGCCTCATGGCATTTAGCCTATAATACTTTGTCTTATATCTTTAATATTTAGGTCTTTAACAGTTACAAATAAGATACCAAACAGAATATGAACTAGTACTAGGCATATCTTTTATTTGTCCAGGAACAATGTTATCCTGAAAGTGAAATTTTTTTCCTATGGTCTCTAGCCCCACCTTTGTGCTTATATTTCTTTCTCAATGACATCTTGTCCATCCTCTCCTCCCTTCCTCCACACTCCCCTTTAGACATTCTACCTCTTCTGACAAAACAAGAAAAGTTCTGGTATTGTGTTTTAAATTTCCAAACTTGTCCAAGTAATGTAAGCCATGGTATTTGTATGTATTTCTCTTTTCTTTCTTCCCTCTTCACACAGGGTATCACACCCTTACCTGCCTGTGCTCTGCCCATAGGGAATGTAAATTTTAATCACTGAACCTTTTTTTGTTTTGTTTTGTTTTGTTTTTCTCCTAAAGACCAGCCTTAACCCTAAATCATTCTGGTCCCAGACCAAACCCTAATTGGTCACTATTTGGGCCCTGATTGTTTCAGAATGAACATAAATAACAGTTGTTTCTGTTGTGACCAGAAACCCTGAGGGTCTTCCCATCCCAGATCTACTTTTTTTTTTATTAAAGAGGGCAGTTCTTTGCCTCATTTTTTTATTAAACCTTGATCACTGCAGATGGGTGCTGCCTCAGTCAAACTGAGACCTGTTAAAGACCTTAGCTTCAAAGGGCATGGGTAGGCTCAGATTCTTACAATCTAGCCAATAGCTCATTAACATTCAGACTCCTTAAGAGTCTGCCCCCACCAAAAGAAAAATTAAAAGGGCAAGGGTCTCTCAAAGCATCTTGGGCCATCTCTAGTTGTCCTGATTCATATCTGGCCACTGGCCTCAGATGGCTCTGGAGGAGAAAGTGAGGCTGGTGACTTTGCACAGCCCTCCTTCACTTAAATCCAATTCACTTGCATGTCATGGCATCACCTCCCTGATGTCATGGTCCTCTTCGAGAATGAAGGATAAACAGCAGTAAATATTATAGTAGAGAGAACATGGAATTTGACTGATGGATCTAGGTTTCTCAATTTCAGCTTTGCTACTTAGTAATGCTAATAAAACATGTAGAGTGCTTTAGGGGTATATAAAGCACTTTTCTCATGACAACCCCATAAAGTTGGCAGTACTGTTACCACCATTTTACAGATGAGAAAACTGAGACTTCAGGAGGTTAAGTGCCTTCTCCATGGTCACATATCTTTTAAGTGTCTTTAAGAACTAGGTATCTAACACACATTTCCTGATTTCAGGTCCTGTGTTCCATGTGCTTTGCCACACAACCTATGTGATCTTTGACAAATCAGTTCACCTCTGGGCCTCTGTTTCCTTCTCTGTGAAATCAGTGGATTGAACTGTGTGACTCAACATGTCTTATAGTTCTAAGTTACTATGATCTGTAAATGTTCAGCGATAGATATATTTCCTGTTACAGAAATTTCAGATAGCCAGTAGGTGGAGGATGATTCTTTTGGAACTGGAACCTTTTCCTTGTCCTTAAAATCATATTGTGTTGAATAGGCTAGCCTACTAGATATGGAATCATAGAAATAAAGAGGTAGATAGGACTTTTGGACTGGCTACGTGGCACAGTGAGTAGAGTGCTGTATCTGGAAGACCTGAGTTCAAATCTGGCCTAAGATACTTAATAGCTGTGTGACCCTGGGCACGTCAGTTAACTCTGTTTGCCTCAATTCTTCATCTGTAAAGTGAGCTGGAAAAGGAAATGGCAAACCACTCCAGTATCTTTGCCAAGAAAGCCCCAAATGGGGTCACAAAGAGTTGAACATAACTGAAAACAACTAAACACAACAAGAACTTTTTAGGTAATTTAGTTCATTCACTTTATTTTGCCATGAGTGCCTTGTAAGGTCAGAAGGGATGGTAGTCACTCTACTCCCCAAATGCCAAGACATTTCTTTGTGGAAGAGGAACTCTTGTTGTAGCCCATTTCTTAAGAGTTAATGGGAATGAGGAGTAAGTGTTGCAGCACAGGAACTTGGAAATCCTCATCACCTAGCTTGAACATAGATCTTCTAGACTCTCAAGTCTTTTCCTTCAGCCTTGCCTTAAGACTTCGATTTGCCAATTATACGTAGTCCAGTCTTTGTGTTCTTTGTTCCATCACTACTTTTAACCTGGAACTATCTCCATTAGCTATCATCCTTGTAGCACTGGTGATGAAGCGTAAGCTAATGATAAACTTGGATGGGATTGTTGCTTCTCATGAAGGACGTGGGGGGTATGGGAGGATAGGCTTGAATAAAGCCAAGAACAGAGAAGGTATAGAGAAAGTAAGACCTGGGTAGTTACAAGGATTGGGGGGGGGGAATGCCAGTCAGAAAAAAGGAATCCAGGAAATAAGGTAAGTCAGAATAGAAAAGGGAAAGAACTAATGATATGATTGCATAGGCAGAATTGATGATATGACTTGCACAGGCAGAGATAGGAAATCTCAGCTCTGAATCATGTAAGGCGAAGAGGAACATGAAGTTATAACTAAAGATGAACCTGCTTTAAAACACACACATGTCATTCTCTTTAGTTTATATTTTTCTCAACTTTTAAGATTTGTTTCCTCATGCGACAAACAAGCTATTGTGGCATTGTAGAGAAAGCACCTGAATTTAAGATAGAGGGCTTAGAGTTTATAGTTAAGCACTGGCAAAGAGAGAGAGAGAGTCAGATCAAGGCCACTTGGCTGTTTATTTAGACTTGTCCTCCCTATGTATTTTTTCTTTTTTTTCCTATATATTTTTTCTTAATATAGCTGGCATAAATTTTAGATCCCATCCTCAGTTTGTGTGTTAAAAACTTGATTTTAGTAGTTGTTTATCCAGAGTTGACTAGGCTCTGTAGAACTAAGCACAGTTACCAAACTTAATAGAAATTCATGTATAAATCAGAATGCTAACTTATTAATTTACAGTATAAAATTAGGTACTTTGTTTATAAAACAAGGTATTTAGACTAGATCGTCTTTGAGTCCCCTAATTCTGTAATACTATGAACCAGTTAAAAAGGAGAGAAATGGTTTTACAAATTAGGCTTCTAGAATTTAAGGAAATGAAAATGATTGCCATAGTTGGTTTTGAATGCAAGCCATGTTCTGGAAATCTTTGTGATACATTATATGAATTATTGGTTATTCTACCTTTTCAGTCAAATTGTCTCAGGGCTGCTACATCTAATCTTCTTTATATCTTCTTTATAGCAAGGATTAATGAGGCCAAAGTTAACCCACTAATTTACAGTTACAAAAATTGAGGGCATAGAAATGAATTCTTCAGAAGGTTCTTGTGTGCCCTGATTAAGTTCTGACTTAATGAATGTTTCTTAGAATTATTGTGTAATTTATTTCTTGATGGGATATACTGTTTAAGAAATATTATTCCTTAAATTCCCTCTACATAAACCTCTAATAATGTATATGAATAGTGAAACTCAGTTTCGAAGAACAAAATCACTTTCGTAGAAACAGAGTGCTAAAAAACTGGAAGAGGGTTTAGTGATCAGCTAGTCCAATGGTTTTATTATATGTATTAGGAAATTAAGACCCAGAGAGAAAAAGTGACTTATTAAATGATAGTATCTACCAATACTAGATAGAACCCAGGTATTCTGGCTTGTTGGTCTAGTGATATTCCCTTATACCCTCTATCTATCCTTAGTTACTTAAAGGTTCAACTTTTGTTTTTCATTACAAAGTATAGAAAGAATTGTTATTATGTTTTACAGTTATAAAAAGCCAGCAAAATGTCAGGTGCTATTGTTTTTTCTTTTAGCTCCCAAGCCTGAGCCTACAGTTTTAGAGAAGAAGTATTTTTCTTCCAGGCTTGAAGAAAAGGGTAAGGTTTTGTTTGTTTGTTCGTTTGTTTTTTGGCGAAGTTGCTACTGCAAGAATGTTTTAATTTAATTAATGTGGGAATTTTTGTGATGATTGGGAAAGCTTAATCTAGTTTAAGAGACTAAAACACTGATCTCGGTTGTGATACCTCCTATGATTTGGTAGAATCTCTTTTTTGATGATTGTTATAGCAAAAAAAAAAAAATAGTCAGAAGACTTAGGCTGTTGTTACCACCTGTGTTACTTGCCTAAACATTCTTCCTATCCATTAATACTCTGCCTAGATTAATTTCCCGGTGGTTAGCATATTCCTTTTATTCTCCCCATCTTTGTGATTCCAAGTCTCTGATTGCTAAAGAAAAAAACCCATTTCCCAGCCTCAGCTGTTGGTTCTCTCAGTTCCATCCATTTTAATGCTAATACCCACCCCAGTCCCCCCCGTTATTGTCATATTCCATATCAGCCTGCCTTTTGCACTGTGATCTCTGGAACTCTCACTCTACAATTAATAAATTTCTTGTTCTTTAAGGACCTCTTCCTTTCTTGGTCTTCCTGTCTTCTGGCAGTCAGTGAGACTTGGCTCCCCCTGGGTGACACTATATCTCTCACTATGCTTTCTGTTTATTATTTATACCTTCTTTCATACACCCTAAATCTCTGGTCCTTTGGGAAGTTGTAATACACCTTTACTCCTATTGCTATTTCCAAGGTGCTCCCACTATTGCCATTATTCAGCAGGACCCAGTCCATGTCCTCGGACCTGGTGTATGTCGGTCCCCAGGATATTTCTCTTTCTTTCTTAGTGTATGTCTCATAATCTCCCTTCTATTCTAAAACTCTTCTCTTCATGTTAGGCAACTTCATCATACCTATTGATGTTCCCTCAAGTTATAACTTCCCAGTTCCTTAGTCTACTCAACTGTCATGATCTACTTCTCTATTCTACTTCAACTACACACAAGCATGGTTGTACCCTTGAACTTGCTGTCATCTACAAGTATTCACTTCTATGTTAAAAACTCTGAAATTCCTTTTTCTGGTCATCTTTTTATCTCTCCCTTTGCCTTAGTACTCCTGAATTTGTTCTTCATCTTCACTGTGATCTACAGTATCTCCATTCTTCAGTGCTCTCCTGGGCTATCACCCTTGCTTTGACTATACTCCCTTTGATTCCCTATGTTGACCTATTGGTGAACCAGTTCAACACTGATTCTGTCCTTTACTCTTGAATCCCTTGTTCTCTTGTCCAAACCTTAACTCTGGATTACTTTGCCTTCTTTGCTTCTGTTTGAATTTGAATGTTGTTGAATGAAACTGGAAGAAGTTGAAAACCTGCCCTGCCTGAGTCCACTACAAAATTATGCTACTGCATCTCAGTTGGGCCTTGCCTTAAACGAGATAGTTCTTCTGCTCCTTAATTGCATCTCTATTCTATGCGCCATAGCAGTGTCAAACCTTCTTATGCCTCACGTAGTACACCCTCCCTTCCCACCCCGTCCCCAGACAACATTTTTGTAATACTTCACTGAAAAAATTGAAGCCATTCACCCTGAGTTCCTTCTTTCTCCCCCTGTTCTCATTGAAATCATTTTCTCTCTCTCTTCCTTACCTTAATCTCTGATGAAGAGATGGACCTCATTAAGCCAGCCTCTCTATATTTACCCTTGATCCTATTCCTTCCTGTCTTTTTCAGATTGCACACACTGTCATTTCTACCCCATGCCCAATGTACAATCTTTCCTTATGTTCTGGTTCTTTTTCTTGCTGGCTGCAACACACTCTATTTTCCTCCATTCCTTGAAAAGGCCCTCATTAGATCTTACCATCCTAGTCATTGTCATCTTATATCTCTCTTCCCCTTCTTAGTTAAAATTCCCCTACTCTTTTTTTTTTTAAATCTTTCTTTTAAGTTGCTTTTAAATTGTCTGCAGTGCCTTTGACCCTAATTTTATTCAACTGGAAGTACTTTCTCAAAAGTTACTACTGATCTCCCAATTGCCAAATATAATGGCCTTTTCTCAGTCATCATGCTTCTTGACCTCTCTCTAGTGTTTGACACCGCTGATCACCTTTCTTTTTGAATACTATCTCCTCTCTGTATTTTTTATGGCACTCTTCTCTCTTGGTTCTCCTACCTGTTTGATTATTCCTTCTCTTTCTTCTTTGCTGGATCTTTATCCATGTCATGCCCACTAACCTAGATATCTTCCAGGCCTCTGTCTGATACCCTATTTTATTTTCACTGTGTACTCTCTCCCTTGTTGCTCTGGGCTAAGTTTCACTTAGGTTAGCCAGTACAGTATTCTAAGCTCATAACTGAAACATAGTATGTATTTTTTTAAGCTTTCTTAATGATAGCGTGAAAAAGATGTTCAGCAAAGATACAGCATTAGTTTAGGTGGACACAGCTTCCCTTGTCATAAGGAGATAGTGAGATTAGAAGGGTGTATTCCTCCATGACAGAAGGAGTTCATCACTTCTAAGGTGTGTCATCTTTTTATGACCTTAGGCAACAGGGAACCTACATCAGTAGTTCAACCTTATTTCCCTGGACCTATGTCTCTGGAATGGCTTTCTTGATTTTTTTAAGGGAAAAACTATCCTAGCCTACATGAAGCGGATGTGCCTTTTATCACATCCTACCCCCTAGATGATAAGGTCCTAAAAGTCTACTAGGAGACTTTCCATTTCTTAAATGGCCTTAGGGCCTTTACTAGGCAACCATGGCCTTGGGCAAGCAAGAAACCTGGAATAGGAAGCATTGGAGGTAGAAAAGAAAAACCAAAACAGAATGATACCAAGAAAAAATATAACAAAACTAGTATAGGTAACACTAGAGAAGAATTGGCATAGGTAGAAGAAAAAAAAACAGAAATAGCTCTCTGCCTTCTCGTCCCTCCCATGCCCCTTCCATATAGCCTCCTGAAAATATGGCTTAAGTGAATATGGAAGATAATGACCAGAATTACTTGTCTTTGCCTCCCCAGTTTGGAAAGGACTAAATTTTTCTGCCTAATCATTTGGTTCATGTGAAATGTCTGAGTCACAGCACAGTTTCCTGCATACTCACTGATCCTTATCATGGGGTCAGCTATAGTTATCAAGAGGTCATTACCCTTTTGCTTGGATATCTAGGGCCAGGGTCATTACCAAGACACCCTTTGTATCTCTCTAGCTTACTAGTCAGAAACTCCTCCTTCTCAGTCTGCTCCTCATTCCCCTAGGAGTCCCATTGGAAAAGGAGAGTGATAACATATCTTTGCCCCTTTACAGGCTGCTACTGATATGTTTGCCACTAATTCTGCAGGAGCAGCTGTCTAGTTATGTAGAGATGATTTCATCTCCTTCTTGTTAGAAAAGAAAGCAAGGCACTTCCCAATAATTCAACCATGGGTAAAGGGAAGTTACAGAAATTATATCCTGTGGTTCCTAGCTCCAGCAGTGTGGAGGGTTTTGTCAGTTCTATTGAGGATATAGTAGATCAGCGAGTTATGATTAGCCTGCTTGTATCACTACAATTACTTTTTTGCTGTTTCCCCCCCTCAACCATTGCCCATGAGGCTGCTGATGCCTGCTGGGCAAACCATCATCAGAAACGGCCTCAGCAGTCAATGTGGCAACCCCGTAGTCCTCTTTAAGCTGCCAGGTATCACTTGCCTTTCCCCACTGGCCACACAGTATATGTGCACTGTTTGGATGTGTCCCTTGAGGTAACTAGTTTTGGGCAAGCCAAGCCAGTGCTTAGTTTCCTTTTTCTGTCATGATCATCATCTCATATAGCTAAAGTAGCTATGTGGGATATTTCACGTAGTGTAGCCAGCATCACCTGAGGATCTCCCATTGTCCCAACTCACAAGTTGTTACCTCCAAGGTTAGAAACATCCATTGTAAGATTACCATTCATTTATCTCTGCTCAAGCAAAGGAGCAAAGAAGAAGAGGTAGCCAGAGAACTAAAGGCCTAATTTGCCTAGGCAACTTATAAGTTTGAAGCCACTTTAGCTCCAGCATATTGGAGAAGAGGATTACTTTCTCTGTCTCTCATAGGAGATTCCAGTGACAGAGTGTAGTAGGGTGCTAAGTAGTACAGTAAGTGGATAGAGAACTGGACCTGGAGTTAGGAAGACTCGAGTTTAAATTTGACCTCAGACACTTTAATAGCATTTAACTTCTGTCTGCTTCAATTTCCTCATCTGTAAAATGGGTGTAATAATAGCATCTAATAATAACATCTGCCTCCCAGGGTTGTTGTGAGGATAAATGAGCTAATATTTATAAAACACTTGGCAAATCTTTTGAAGTGCTATATAAATGTTAGTTATTATTGACATGTCACACATTCCAGAATGAGAGTGGAAGCTGTCTTTCCTTATAAACTGACTTAGCTACACCTCATCTCCTTAGTGATTATCTTCAGTAAGCCAAACAGGGTACATTTGACACCTCTGTCTATATTCCCAATTCTGGAACCTCAATCATTGTCCCTTCACAGTACTTCTCTCTGTATCTTTTACTAAAGACTTTCAATAAAGTTCATGTAAAATTACCTCCTAAATGCCATATAAAGTCTTACACAGCCCATTCAGCACAGTCAGACAGTCTCCAAATTAATAAGTTTTTAGAGAGGGCCAGGCTTACAATTATAGCTTGGAGATACCACATCTAAACACAAAATTATGCAATTTCAGCCAACAACTTATGTCCATTATTTGCCCCCTTGCCTTAATGGTATGACTTGTAAAGACCAGAGCATATTCAGCTCCTGTTGATAGTTTATTTTTGTTCTTTATATGATAATGATATTAGCTGTCCAGGACTGTTAGCAACATCCAGGGAATGTTAGTGGCATCTTTACTCTCCCTATTCTATCAAGACCATGTGCTCTCTACATTGAGAAGCACAGTGCAGGCTCCCTGTAGTACTAATCACCAGGATTCCCTCTTCTCCTCCTGGGTCTTTCTCCACTTCAGTCCTTCCATACCAATCATCCTGGCTACTGTGAATATTCTTAGTCAGGCCTGATTCAGGTTAGTCTGATGGTTTTGGCTCATGATTAGAATTAAATGAAAATTTCTAGACCATGTAACATTATTTAAAAGGAATTAATGTCATGAAAGGGATATTCAGGAAAGTCATAGCATGGATTCAGGTAGATTCAGTTCTCCTTGTCTCCTTTGTAAGTTAGATCTGGTCAGGAATCATAGTCATATGTTGTCTTGAATAGCCACAAGGATTCCATGAAGCCTGAGGAACACTAACTCCTAATAAGCTAGATTTTTTATATCTTAGGTGACCAGTAAACTACATCAATAATTCAAGCCTTATCCGTGAAGCAACTAAGTTTCTAAAATGGTTTCTTTGCCTTTTCAGGGAGGAACCAGCCTTACCTCCATGTAGTAGATGTTGCTCTTACTATATAGTTATCCCTTACGCATAATGGCTTTCTCCATCACAGTTTCAATGTACTGTATATCTGCATAAGAAATTAAATGGGAATTTTTTGAGGAGTTTTGCAGAAACTGCAGATGGCACACAAAGGCCAGCAGACAAACACGTAAAAGGTTTAGAAAATCAGAAATGCATAAAATATATGTATATTATTTGTATAATAATATCAAAACCCCATTAAAAAATTTGGACTTCTGTTACAAGTGGAGGGCCAAAAAATTTTATGCTGATTTTTCAGATTATGGGGATCTTCATGATGTGGAAGGGGTGGTACTTGCTGATCTTACTGCCTTCCATAGACTCAATTATTTCTACGCGGATAAGCTATTACAACTTGATGGCACAGTGCTTAGAGTGCTGGGCCTGGAGTCAGGAAGACTGGTCTTCCTGAGTTCAAATCTGGCTGTAGACACTTAATAGATGTATGATCCTGGCTAAGTCACTTAACCTCACTCCTTATCTGTAAAATGAGCTGGAGAAAGAAATGGCAAACCACCATTGTATCTTTGCCAAGAAAACCCGAAATAGGGTGACAGAGTAGCACATGACTGAAAAATGACTGAACAACAAGAAGAAGCAGATAACTTCTAGACCTCGATATTGAGTCCTAGATTGTCTTCTAACTTCCAGTCCCATATCATATACTGCCTAACGTACATTTCAGAGTCATCTGAAAACAATGTCAAAACAATTCATTCTCCTTTTTCCTTAAAACCTACCCTTCTTTTAAACTTCCCAATTGTTGTTGAAGGCACCATCTTCTTTCTATTCACTCAGGATCACAACTTTGGTGTCATTCCAAACTTCTTATTTTCACTCTACATATCCAGTCACCAAAGGCCTTGCAGGCATTTCTGTCTCCAGAATATCTACTGTATGTTTCCATTTACCCACTCCTGCAGCTACTACTAAAGTTCAGATTGTGATCACCTCTTACCTAAATCAATAAATCATCTGTATTTCCTGCCTCGAGTCTGTCCCAACTCTAACACATTCTCTTTACAGCCACTAAAGAGATTTGCCACTTACAGGCTTAGAACTACTAGCCCTCTCTTAGATCACCCAGCAGTTTAGTAACTTTGACCAATGTCATACAACCAGTAGGTGTCACAAGTGGGACTTGAATCCTGTTCTTACTGGTTTCAAGGTTAACTATCTACTGTATCAGGCTGCCTCTAGTGTTTTTAGAGCTGTAAAATAAGTTAAGATTTTAATCACATTGACATATATTTGTTTCAGGAATGAAGTCAACATTTCATAGTAGGGATTAGATATTTGATTCATATTTATTTAACATTTTTTTTTACTTGCAGATGACAAAAAATGTTCCATAGTTAAATTTTAAAAAGGAGTATGTCAGAACATAAGACTGGAGTGCCAGTGTGCCAAGTCTGTTGAGTTCTGGGTATATAAATAGCTAGTTCTTATTGTGGGAGAGCTCACATTCTAAGTGGGCTTAACTACACATAAAGGATAGTAAGGTGAGGTCTTCTAGATACTCCTCTTAGCAGATGAAATCATTTTGATAATATCATAATATCAAGCACTAAGACATTGCAGAACCTCCTAAATTAAATTCATGGTCAATCTAAAGAATTTGGACTATTGTCCCAAGAAAAATTATGTGTGTGTATATATGTGTATATGTAAAATGTGTAAATTGTGTATAATTTGTATATCACATAAGTTATATGTGTATATATATATGCACACATATATATTCATATAAATAAGTAGATATATAGATAAACATATATTATTTGTCCTTTATTTAGAAGAGGACTAATGACATAAAAACACACACACATACATACACACACATACATATACACGCTCTCAGAAAACCTAAATAGTTTTGATTATGCTTCCTTTCTTTTTTAAAAAAAATTTTTGTATAGAGGAAAAATCGGCTTTAGAACAGAAACCTTCAAAGCCAGCTGCTCCCCAGGTACCACCCAAGAAACCTACTCCTCCTAACAAAGCCAACAATTTATTAAGATCCTCAGGGACGATGTATCCAAAGCGACCGGAAAAACCAATGCCGCCGCCACCACCTCTTATCTCTAAGTAAGTCACTTCATTTTATGTTAATTTTTCTGCCATCAAAAAATTAGTTACATCACTAAGAATATTATATTTTTTAAAGTAACCGTACTGACCTTGTTTTCTGTTTATTTTTGGCAAAATGCTAATCTTAGTGTGCTTATCTCCCAAATTATAATGGAAATATTATTGCTTTTGTGATATTATTTACCAGTTTTAAACTTGTGAGTTTTATAGAATAGAAAGAATAAAATTAAATCTCAATTTTTTTTATTTTTATAAGTTGCCAGTATCTTTAAATTATTTTTTATCTTATTTTTAAACTTAGGCATCAAGAAAAGCAAATCATTACACATCAGTTCCATGTTATTTGCTTTTTAAAGGTTTATATTAACTTTATGAAAATAATATTAGTTTAATTTAATTTTTTGTTTATTTTGCACATGTTAAATGATCACTGTCTCTTTGGTTCTTCATTTTAGGCTCAATGGGGAAGTTCCTATCTTCCCGTCAAAGACAGAAAATGAGCCAGTATTGAAACCAAAGTTAGATTCTGAACAAGTACCTTCTAGACCAAAATCAGTAGACCTAGATTCATTTGTAATAAGGAGCTCTAAAGAGATAGGTAAGTTAACAAATAGAGTAATCTGTTATTTTTAAATCTTTGAATGTATATTCTCATTAAACTCCTGACATATATAGATCTTTGCATGTGATGTTAGTATAAAAAGTAAAGTGGAATGAAGGCTTTAAACATATTCTTATTATATGTGGTCTGATTGAAAAAGTTAAACTAAACTGCAGATGATTGACCTCAATGATTTTAGATGATATACTATGTTTCGAATTAATCATGAGGCTGCAAGAGATTTTGAGAGAACATCTATCTTAAACCTCCCAAACTATCCCAGACAGAATAGAATTCAACCTATTTTTAAATTTGTCCACAGAAATTCCACAGCTTCTATTTCTTTCATTTTTTTCAGTGCTAAAAAACATTAGATTTAAGAAATACTATTTTGATTCTTCCCTGCTTTGTTTTATTTTAAGATAGTTTCCTTTTTTTATTTTTTGGCACTCTATCTTTGATTAAATAGACTCTTTATAAAGACTTTTTATATATTTGAATAACCTTTCATAACCTTTTCTGATAAGCTGACTGATATTCATCTATTTTAGACACAGATCTTCAGCCCTTGTTCATCTTTGTGATTATGCTGTGTACCTTTTCTGATTCTCTTCCATTCCTTTTAGTTGTGAGGTGCAGAATTGAAAAGTGAACTCTGGGATTTGTGTTTTACTAGTATACAGTGTCTTGTGAAGATTGTTTTATAATTAGGGTTAGGGAAGATTGTTTTATAATTCTGTCAGTAATATCACTATTGCCACTTTTTATAGCACTTTGCACTTGTATGCTACTATTTACTTTTTTAAAACATATTTACAGATAATATACTTTTTTCTTCATTACAATCTAAACTAAAGTTATGATGCTTTCATTTTCCACATAAGACAGCAAAGGTACAGGTTGATTTAGTGACTTAATCAGTATCATACAATAGTGATTTAAAATAGCCTACACCCAACTCAGTACTTTCCCACTACTGCTTTACCAGCCTTTATATTTAGTGGTCTTAGTATTATACTTTAAAAAAAAAAAACTATCATGATTTATTACTGTTTTGTTTGGAAATTTTTGCACTTTAATTTTCCTTTTTAAGTTAATACCATGCTGTACTGTCATCGTTTCTTTTTGACTTTCTAAATTCTTAGACTATTCTCAAACAGTCCCTTTCTTTTAGTAACTATGCCCTACAATCTGTTAAATGCTTGAAACTTTTGAATACTACTAAGTTTGAATCTTTTCCAACAAGCACTAGGCAAGACATATTAAGAATAGGGACTATACGTGATTTCGCTAACATAGGGAACTTGAATAAGAAAACTACATTTACCAATGAAGATTGGCCTGGTCTCTGCAATTTATAATCTTTAGAGAATTACCTAGGACACCCAGATTTTAAAGACTGAAACTTGGGGTATTTTCTAACAAAAGAATTTCCTTGCCTACTAGCTATTGATTTAAATAAAAGGAGCTGCTTTCATTTTTTTTTCTTTTTATAAATATTTTTACCTTGGCTTTTATGTTTTTTTTATGTAAGCAAACCTTAATCATTTATAATTTTGAAGTACACTGAAAAATTCATTTTTAGAGTTTTGGTACCAAAGTCATAATCTGCTTTTAAAAGTCAAGGAAGTAGGTAATAATAGGTTAAGGGATTTTATTTGGTTCTGGTTCTTGGAAGTGCATTAATATTGTTGTTGAGCATCTTTATTTCTAATATACAATTTTTTTTCTATTACTCTTCTCAGATTCTGATGACACTTGTTTGGGGAAAGTGTTCAGGGCCCATGTAAGATTTCTTGATTGATTCTACCAAGATATTTCACAATATACTTAATCTACAATGCCTTTGCTTTTTAATTCCATTACCTCTCTGTGGAGAATGTGAGCATCTGTTTTTCAACGCAGTAATTCATTTTCCTCTCCGTCTATTGCTGTCTCTTTAGATGACCTTAGGTTTTCAGGCATCTTTTGTCTTTACATTTTTGCCTTTAAACCTTTTTTTTTAAATATTAATTTGTTATATAGTATGATTTGTTTTTGAGAAATTTCTAGCAGAAATAAAACATATACTTAATACCATATGAACCAAACTAATAAGTAATAGGAGAAAAAACTTAAGAGTAACTTTTTAAAAAATCCTTTCCCACTCTATCTTAATATCTAGATGGATAATAAGGGTAACATTTTGCACCGTATTGGGGCATCTCTTCACCAACTAAAATTTAGAATAGAAATAAATATGCAAGTAATATAGAACAGCAGATGACTAAATTGTTGCTTTAATTAATGTGGCCAAAATACAGAATGCAGATAAGGGGTTTACTGATACAAAAACTCAGCAATTGTAATCATTAAAGTAAGTTGATTTGCTGTAGCTCAGTCACCCCATAACTTAAGGCCATGGGATTAAGGAAACGACTCTTATAATACATGTAAATACTGGAGAGTTGATTAATATATAATTAAGTCTATAAGTAGTTGTTGCATACAAAACACATCTGCACACACACACATGTATAGGCGTAATGGGATACAAAAACTGCTTGAGTGTAACTTTACCTTTTCCAAGTATCTTAGGTTCTGCTTATTTCTGTTTTTCATTTAGGTTATAGGGTTATTATATTTAAAACTAGAGGGGAACTTAATGGCAGCTTTATTTAGTAATGCTCTTAATTTTTATTTATTTTGCCACTTTCATGATATGTTGACGTTTTGAAAAACACTATCCCACATACATACCCAAATGAAGCCTTAGTCAGCAGTGAAAGCCTATAATAATTAATGAGTTAAAGAACGTATCATAGAAATAATCCACATGGAAAGGAAAATTACAGTAGTGAAACAAGAAATAAAATTTCTGGGATACAGCTAAAGTAGTACTCAGAGAAAAATTGTATCTCTAAAAATATGCATTAACATAATAGAAAAAAGGATTTATTGATTGAATATGTATTTTTTGAAATTAGAAAGCCCTCCCCAAAATAGTCTAAAATCAGCATAAAAGAAGAGACATTAAAAAATTAGAAGAGAGATAATAAATTAAGTACTATAGAAATGGTAGATAAAACCAAAAGTTCTTTGAAATGACTAACAAAAGTAATAAATCATTAGAGAATTGATTGAAAAGAAAAGGGCAGAAAACCAACAAAAATACTGAAATCCAAAAAAAAAACCCCAGAAGAAATAAAAAGTATTAGAACCTGCTATGTACAAAACTGTATGCCACCGTAACTGTGAACACAAAAGAAGTAGAGAAATTTCTTCACAAATATAAAATAACCAAATTAACCAAGGACAAATACAAATCTTAATCTAGTCTTGGAGGAAAAACTAGAAGTAACTGTAGAGGAACTATGTCACATCCACCACCACCTCTCCTCTCACCTTCTTTCCCCCTTCCCCCCCCCCCGAACAAAACAAAACAAAACAAAAACATTAAAAACAAGAAACTTCTGCTGGATTCATGGGAGAAATATTTCAAATTTTAGAAGAATAGTACCAATACACAAATTATTCTCAAAATTTGAGAGAGGAAGCACCATATTGGACACCTTTTGTAAGACAGATGTAGTCCTCATACCTATATCAGAGAAGGATACCAGTATTATTGAAAATATAGGCCAATATCATTAAGAAATATCAGTTTAAAATTTTAAAATAAATCTGTCAAACAGACTACATCCAAAGCAATACATTCAAGAATTTGTTCATTATGACCAAGTTGGATTTATACCAGGCATGTAAGATGGTGCAGCATTCATAAAACAATCAACATAATGAATTATATCAAAAGCAAAAACATCTAAAACCACATGATTAACTCAACACAAGCAGAAAAACCTTTGACAAAGCTTAATACTCAGGTTAAAAAAAATCCTACAAATTATGGGCGTAGAACCTTTTGAAAAATATCCTATAAAGTATCTACCTCAAACTAGTATCATATGCTATGGATGTAGACTGGAAGCTTTCCCAAAAATACAATAATAAAGCCAAGATGTAACTCACCATATTACTATTTGATGTAGTTCTAGAAGTACTAGCAGTAGCAATAAGAAGAGAAAGAAATTAAAGTATAATGAAAGGTAGAGTGGAAATAAAATTGTCCCTATTTGCTGATGACATGATAGTTGACTTAAAAAATCCTAGCGACTTGGCAAAGATATTAAAACAGTTGTTTCAGCAAAGTTTCAGGTTGTGAAATAAACCTTCAAAAATTAAGAGTATTTCTCTACAATAACAAAATCCAAGGGAGAGATCTCATTGCAAATAATAACATAATGCACAAAATAATTGATCTAGAAAAGCACACAAAATACCTTTTATAGATTCAGTTACAAAATGCTTAATGAAAAAATAAAGCACAATTTAAATAGTTTATGGTCAGCTAGATGGTGCAGCGGATAAAGTTCTGAAGCTGGAATCAGGAAGAATTTTCTTCCTGAGTTCAAATCTGTCCTCAGACACTTACTAGCTGTGTGACCTTGGGCAAGTCACTTAACCCTGTTTACCTCAGTTCCTCTTCTGTAAAATGAGCTGGAGAAGGAAATGGCGAACCATTGGGTCACAAAGAGTTAGACATGACTGAAATTTTATTGCTTTACCAAACTATCAGTGGAATATTTTACAGAATTTATTTAGAAAAGCAAAAAAGGAAATGAAGAAAGATAGGGATGAATATAGAATAGCACTTCCAGACTTCAAGCTTTATTATTAAGGTATTGGTTAAAAAAAATAAAGAAGTGTAACAAAACAGAATAGAACATGGAGAATCAGAAACAATGGAATCTGATAATCCAGTGTTTGAGGAACTAGAAAATATAAATTACTTAGGAAAAAGACTCCTTATTTGATTCAGTACTACTGGGAAAACTGGAGAGTTCTCCAACAGAAATTAGGTTTATGTCAACACCTTATGCCCTATTCTACAGTAAGTTCTAAATGGATATGTGACCTTAATATTGAAGATCATACTATAAAAAAGTTAGAAAAGAAGC